AGAACTGGGCAGGGATGAGCCAGGGGAGCAAAGTGGAGCTTTCTGGGGAGCACAAACAGCACAGCTTCAAACACCTGCTCACACCTTGGCCAAAACACATACACAAATCAGCATTTGTACTTATATATTAATGTGATGCAGAATTATCTCCCTCTTCCCTCAGGGACCTGTATGTCATCTGTGTAACCTACACAGGCAGGCTACAAAGGGTTCAATTTAATCCTAAATACTGGAGCAGCACCTTCTAATGAGCAAGTATACAGAAGCCTTTTAATTTCAATAAGTCACTTCAAGGCAAAAGTCCTAATGAAGACAACATAATTTGTAGTGTCAATAGCTATTAGTGCTATGAGGGCTCCAGAACAGTGAGCTTTGATTTAATGTCTCCCTTTTAGAGCACACTCTGCCTTCATAACAAGAACAAGGCCAAAGAAGAATAACCTTCAGGTACTCCTGAAGATCAGGAGCCCACATTCATAGATTATTTTGATTACCATTTCCTCATTTGAGAAAAATCAACACAAGTGCTATCAGAATATTTATGTCATCAGACCCAATGAATCTCCAACAAGATGTGAATTTATATTCATGAAGTATTAACTACTGCATTTTTGAGACTCTAGAGAGTACTTCTTGGGTTTTGGGGCTACAGGGAATCCATATTTTCCAAATCAAGAAGTAACTTTGCTGGGTTACACTGGTCTTATGCAATATCAGTTTTGCCTACTTACCTCTGCAGCAGCAGGCCTCCAGTATCTTCTCTTCTCCACCAACATTTTTCAAAAGTAAATGCTGATCAAAGTATAAAGTTTGCTTCCAGAGAAGGTGAGATGAGCTGACACAGAAGGAACATGAAATGGGAATGATCTGAGAGCAATGGCAATTAGAAAGAAACAAAGGGCAGCTGGGATGGAACTGTGGGAGATTGATGGCCCCAGCTGAGACTTATTCAGAAGATTTGATAATCCTCTAGGGAGGAATTTTAACCTCCAAGTGCATGCACACAGGTGCTGCTGACAAGAAACAGAACAACTATAAAGAAAAAATACAGAGGATAACTTTTTAGATGTGAATTCATGTCAGCCTTTGGCACCTGATCATTAGTACCAGCACTTAGTATAAAGCAAAAATATTTGGCAGTTTGAAAATTGTGTTCACATATAATTACTGTGCTGGCATTCACTACATTCAACAACAGGAGCAAAGAACTGCATGGTAATTTCTGATAAAAAGGCAACTCCACCAGCCCCTTCTTTACGGTACTGTGACAACACAGGAAGACAAATGTGATTACTTTCTTCTCTACCACTACCCTAAAATTAAGCCTTTCCTCACTGACACTCATTTGGCTTAACACCTCTGATTTGATGAGCACACTGAAGTAATTTTTTTTAGTTCTTCTCTGGCCATCTCAAAGATTGCTGGAGTAAACTGAAGTAAGGCAAACAAGTCAGTGATGAGCTGACAGAAAATACAGTTTCCTTAGCAGAAGAGTCACATAATATATTTCTCATCAGACCTCCATATTTTTAAATATTTTCATTTTTCTTTCTTCCTCTATGCAAAAACTCAGTCACTGTCTTCTCCTGACACTTCAATTTGAGACAGAATGCAATGCACTCCCCTACAAAAAATACTAGAGTGGGTGTCTCTTCAAGATCTTGAATAGTGAACAAAACCTGGAAAAAATCTATATGAACCTAAATGGCTTATAAGGTTAGCACAGCCAAGACATTCCTGTTTCTATAACCCAAATAGTCCTATGCAGGCACCTTTGATATAGGAGACTGCAGGACAAACTATCCAGCTGCAGCTGCGTTCACCTGGGACAAGTGAAACTGGAGAGGAGACGGGGAAATAAAGAGAAGAAAAAATGCAATAAAAGAAATTCAGCTTCAGCAGAAATAATGCAGTTTTAATGGACCATGGAATATCAGACACCCAACAAGAAGATGACCTTTTCTCCAGTACTGAAATAACAAAGCAATAGAACACAAATGCTGATAAACCAACTTCAACTTTACAAAATCAATTTTTATAAGAATAAAAGAACAAAATCCATGACCTTTTCTTTACTATTTTAAATAAACCAAATCCATCTACTGAAGTCTTCTTTTTGAACAAAAGTTATTGCCTGACCTTTCTTATTCTACTGCAGGATGCAAAGTGACTGGGTGATTTAAGCTCTTTTTTTCTTTCTAAATCAGAGGTTTGTGCCACCACAGAGAGGAGACTGTACACATCTTCCCCACCCCCAAGACAGGAGCAGATTCTGCAGGTACCATCAGAAATCTGTGACATGGCCCTAAAACAAGGGGCAAAGCCCCAGAGGCAGGGGCTGGAAGAGGAGTGGATATTTGGGCTGGAATTTGAGTGCCCATCCAAACAAGGCCTATGTCTCCACAGCATTCTGCAACACACAAGTATTTCAGAATATACCTGCACAATGAAGACTATTAAAAGTGATATATGTTAATGGAATATTTTATCTAGTATATCAACACCAAGGTTATATACAGAACACTGACATAATTTTGTATGCTATTCTCAAAGAATCAGAAGCACAAAATACATAATCTGAAATTAACCTTTTCTGTGATGAGCTCTTGATAATTTACTGGATTCTCTACACAAACTGTTTTAGAAACACCATGAAATAAAAACATGATGTAAATTAATGATAATTACATAATTAATGTAATGACAGCCTAAACATAATTTTACCTGTAACATTTCTCTTGTGGAAGCAATGGCCAAGTAATGTTCAGCAGATGGATACTGCTGCCTGGGATAATGGCAAAATACGTTATTAATTGAAAATAGAAATGTGTTATTATTTCCAATCCTTTTAATCCCAAGAGCCATCTGTGGGCAAGGCCTTTTATTTGACACAGAAAAAAAAACAAAAACACAAACATATGCAAGTATATTTGCCTATGTGGAAATATATAAAAATATATACATTAATTTCTCTACTCTATGTTAAAGTGCTGTCAATAAGGAACTGCTTGTGCACATCCCTATGATTTGACAGGATGGGCTCAGAGTAATCCTGACTGACTGAAAATCAGGAATAATTCCTTGAGAGAGACAAATCACTTTATTTTGAGAAATAACTCCCTGGCTTCTGGAAGGAGATTAGTGTATTACAGCCAGTATCATCCTTTTCATCTTGGTTGTTTCCATTCTCTTATTTTTTTACTTTTAAATCGCTAAAAAACTGCCAGTGATAGGAACATGGAACAGAACCAATCTGATGGCTCCTAGGGGCAAGAGAGCCATTATGCACAGCAAAATAGTATCTTGAAAAAGCTGACCAAGAACTCTCTGAGATCAGGGGGAAAGGGCAGGAGAACATCAAGGCTGACAATTGTATCTCCTGGCTGTAAAATATTAATGCTGAAAACCAAGAATCTGAGATTATATGGCCTCATGCAGTATGGAAGGGACATCTTTCTGCCAAAAACCTCAGAGAAGAGGTGGAGAGACTACATGCTGGTATACTCGGAGCTGAAGAATAAAGAGCATTAGTGAGCAATGAGGATTTGTGATGCTGCTTATTTCAGGGCCTGTCCATCTCTTGCTTCTAAGAGTTGTAAGACCCCTGAATAGAAGCCATGGGGTACTGTGGAAGGGTACATTTACTGATAAAACAATCTTTCTCAGGATAAAGAAAACAAAAAGAGGGGTTGCCATGGCAACCCTGAATGAATTCAGCACATCACCTGTGCATAAAGTCTATCTGCAAGGGCTCTCTTGAAAGCTGAGGGTTTGCTTCTCACTTGGGATCCCTCAAAATTGTACAAGGTTCTTAAAAATAAGGATTGCACAGGAAATGGATGGGACTCCTGCACCCACCAGATCAAAGCCTGCTCAAAGGCACAATTTTCTATGGAAAGGGAAAGCAGTGTATTTTTCTTGACAAAGTTTTCAAATTACTGTGAAGATTGGAGAGTCTAATGTATGCAGGGGACAAGCAAGGCTGGAACTTTTTACTACTGAAGCCTTATGCTTGGATTTCCTAACTTGCTACACAAGTCTCTTTCCTTATAGAACCAGGGAAAAGAAAAAACTCAAATATTGGAATCAAATACACTGGAAAAATGAGTGTTTTAGAGATGATGACAAGCCTGAGGAAAAAAATTAAATGCAAAACCAATTAAAAAGTACACAGGTAAAAATGTTAGAAATAAATAACATTGTATTTAACTATTTGTCAAAGTGTAACAGAGAACATGAGGCCCACTTAGAGTAGCATAAGCAGGCCTAAAGGTAAAATATAAAAGTTTCTGTTATAAAAGCACTACCCAAGGTCTCTCACCTCTGAAAAGTTTGTGAAATTCTGCTGTGTCAGAAGTTCTGTCAGAGCTTGGATTTAAAATCAAACAAATTTGGTAAAGCATTAAAAAAAATAGAGCTATGTTTATTGAAGGTAAGGCAAGGCCACATGGAAGCAAAGAGAAGTTTCTTTGTAGCCCTAGTGTGAAGTATCATCTAGAGCAGCTCAGCGCAACCAGGATGTCCTTCCAATCAAGGAGGTAAAATGTCCAACACTCCTTTGCTTATTTCCACATTTATAGAGACATAACCCACCTCTACATGAAGGTCATGGGGTGAAGGCTAAATAAATACCTGTGCTCACTTTCTGCCACCAGGGAAACCTTTAAAGAGTTTGGCAGATTTGTTTAAATAAAACCAGTTTACACAGAAATACATGACTGGAATATAGCATCTGGCTAATGTCAAAATGAAGAGCCTGAAACATGCAGTGACATCAAATACCTCTTTCTTTTGTAGTTCCTGGGGAACTATTAGAGGACAATTCCCAAAGGCTAATGTCAGTCTAAATGTGCAGATTCTTCCTCAGAAGCAGCCACTGGAGACAAGCTACCCCACGTTAGCCCTCATAACTATCTCTAAAATCTTGAAGTGAGAATTAAAACACGTCAATTTTTTAAATAAGAGCAGATCCTATTTTGTGTAAGTTCAAGACACAGTTCTACCATGAAAAACAAACCATTTAAATAAGTCATATTTGTTTTCCTAAATTATTTGTGGCAATAAATTCTAAAGAGGTAGATTCACCAGTACTGGAGCCCAGATACTCTTCTCAGTTCTCATACACCACTGTACCCCAACTTCCAGCCTTGCCAAACCCAGCAGATTCAGATGGGAGCTGATTACTTAAATGAGAAAGTCAATTACACTATAAACTTACATTTGATATAAATACAGTCTGTAGAGAAAGCAGGGAATCAAAATCAATCAAAACCAAAAAGCTCCCTTAAAACTCCCACAAATATTCCCATGGGAGAGCGGATCGTGTCTGAGGGCAGGAGGCTGAACGCAGTAACAATGACAGACCCTTGCAGTCCTGCTTTCTATTAATTTTCACAAATCCTTCTTCTTTTCAGGCACTCATTTACACACAGGAGTCCATGCTAGGCTCAGGATTTGGTTCTTCTAATGCAGAAGTCAATACAGCCCATTCTTGTTTACCAAGTCATGACCAGTGAGAAGTGCCCTGTGAGCAAACAGAGCCTGGCAGTCAATAACCAGCCACAGCAGTGGGGAGAGCCTCACCTCAGGGTAACAAGGTTGTTTTACTTGGCACCAAAACAACAAATGCTCCTTCTTACAGAAGGATTTTTAACCGAGTAGATGAAACGTATCCATATTGCAATTTCAAAGTACAAACTCTGGTAAATAAAAATTAAAATTAAATGCATTAAAATGCAAAGCTTAGGGTTAACACAGCACCCCCCAGTTTGTCTCAGCAGCCACAACACACTGCTGACTCAGCTGGATTTTGATACTCATTATCTCTCACACAATGCAGAGGCAAAGGAATTAACATTCTTCAAAATAAAATTCTCCTCCCAGCAAGTAAAAAAGTAACACGGGCATAACAATGATCTACATGCAAAGTCAAGATCCACACCATGGAGCACGTTAAATGCTAACACATTTTAAATAAGTATTTTAGGGATTTTTTAACTTTCAGAGACTATATTGTCTTAACTTTCCTCAGTCAAAATAGTTTCTTTGATAGGGGAATCAATAAGAAGTAAAGCCTCTGCAGATAGAAGGAAAAAGTGTTGTATAAAATTCTCTATGTTTGGAACATGGTTTCACAAGTTACAGACATGGAAAATATCAGAAAACAACCTGATTTATCTGCAATCTGTGAAAAAAAATCTGTCACCCAGTTCTCCAAAGTATTCAACATTTCTAGTGAAGAGAATAAAATAGCAGAAATACAACTATTTCAAGAAACAATCACAAATCTTGCAATCCTAAAACTAAATTAAATTATGGATTCAAAGTAGGTTGATTCATTCAAGCCATCTGCTCTTCTATTGACATGAGAAAAAACCCCAAATAAACAGAAATATTGAGAGCATGTTTATTTGATTTCTCCCATTTTTTCAAGTCCCACAGATACCCACTCCTCACAGGTCAGAGGAGAAACTCTTGTAAATTTTTCTTTTTCAAAAACAAACAAAAAAAAAGACCCCTAACCCAAACCCATTATAAACCAGTACTAAGATTCCATATGCATATTGTTACATTACAGTCCTTCTATCATATGTAAAACAATGCTAAAAATGTGTGTTTGTAGAGATATCTTCTTCAGAGGCAGAAGAACCACTGTTTATACATGCTTTTAAGCAGCACGAAAAGAACTGCAGCGCACACATTTGTGCCTTTCACAAACACATACTTAAGCCAATGCATTCAAGCAGAGCATGTTTGGGATTGTAAATGTGTCAAGATAACCCAAACAACACTGGCAGCAAGTCTTTACCCATTGTATGGCCATCAAACATAACATTTATTTTACTTAGACAAAAAACATAATATGCACACAGCAAAAAGCCATTTTTATCTCACTTATATATAGAATGCATTTATCATAAAATGTTAGAATTAATATAGAGAACTCAAAGACAGTTGACACCTCCAGAAGGAATTAAAATGCAGGTTCTTGGGATAACTCCTATGCCAGTTTGCTCTTCCTTCCAACACAGTAATTTAAATAAATTTACATTAAGCACTGATATTCCTGAAAAGGCTTATAAACATTTAGACAATTACAGTGGAGTAATTCTCTCACAAAAAAATCCCCAAACCAAACAAAACTGAACCACTGAACTTGGGGACAAACCAGACAGTACATGGTATTACCTTTAGCTTGGACAACCAAGTTCACAAAGTTAGCAGGGTAATAATTCTGCCAAAAAAACCTTCAGACTGGTATAAATACAAATGTTACATTTTTAAGGTTATGTCTTAATTTCTTTGCAGTACCTGCAGATGTTATAAAGCAACAGGCTGGCTATTTCTCTATCAGTAGGACTTTTCTACTGAAAAGATGACTTATAGACATTTTATAGAATGAACATTCCTAAGGAATACAGAATGCAACTGAGAGTGTTCAAGCACAAAGACGTGAAAAACTATGAATAAGAGAAAATATTGCCGACTTAGCCCTGCTGTAACTCTGAGGAAAGCAGAGAGAACTCCATTAGCCCTGCAACGGGATGTGAGGCAGCACCATCTAAATGAAATCCCGTTCATCAGTGCAAACCCATTTCCAACACCGCCACAGTGCAAACCACCCTCCCCCATTCTGTGTCCTCAATAAAAAGCCCTGTCTAGTGATGTGCACAAGAGATACCCTGTTTCTTCTTGCAGAAGGGAATATTTTATAAAAGGATGCCTCTCTGGCTATCTCCTTTCAGCAGTTCCCAGAGCAGGAAAGGGCAGGATTTACCCCCGGTGCATTTCCTCTCAAAGCTCAGGCCACCTGTGATGAGGGATCTCAGCACACCAGTCCCAGTGAGGCACCAAACTGCTTCAGAAGACAGAAACTTGTCCACTTGTTGTTAATTTTGCTTTAAATCATAAATGCATGGTATCTGTTCCCTCTGTGCAGCAAAGAGATCAGGAAATGCCTCTGATTAACTCACCTGGTGGAGGTTTGCCATCGCCAGCTCTGCGATCGGTGCAGCTGCTGAGGGCCACCATCGCCTCTGGGACTTGCCCAGTGGATTGGGCTGATAATGCCAAGCTCTTCGATCCTTGGGTGGCCACTTAATCAAAATATAAATCTGATGGTTTTGGTGGGCCCCATGTAACTTGGAAGGAGTGCAGCGTAACAAGGTGTGTATCAAGTTCTTGTAATAGCACTAAATGCAACCATCACTGGTCATCACCTCTTTCGTTCGTATGACTAAGTATCACCAGAAGGCTATCTTAGGAGTAACGAGTGAGTAACTCTGCTCTCCCACGGAACGCCGAGGGGCTGGGACTCTGCCCTGGGAAGAGCAGAGGTGCGGCGATGCCTCAGCCGACACCGTCTCGTGTGGCTGCGGGATCTCCCCGGTTGGCTGTACGCCGTGTCCCGGCTGTGTCCCGCTCGGGGCCGCTGGGGCTCCGCTGAGGGAGCGGC